GGGTTTGGGGGGGGGGGGGTTTGCTTTTGAAAACTGTTAATAGCAATACATATATAAATAAGTCCAATATTTTAATATGGGGTTGGGAAAACAAAATCTGCTCTACAAAGCAATTTTTAGAAATTAAAGTAAATCTCCTTAACGTTCAAGCTCTTTACAAAGCCTGAGCTTTGTAAAGGTACATGCTCAAAAACACTTTACAGGTGATCCTTGTTTAATGACCACTCATTGGGCGACCATTTGAACTTGTGACCTTCTTTGCCAGCTTCCTACAAGCAAAGGACAGCCATGTGACGTCCTCGCTTAACAACCCACAGTGATTCACTTGACTATGGCAACTAAAGTGCCGGAATTTCCATCACTAAGCGGTGCGGTCACGTTTTACGTTGCTCTGTGACAGAGATTCCAGTCCCAGTTGCCGTTGTTAACCAAGGACTTCCTGTATTTCATTGTTTTACATAGCCCAGATTTCCATGTACTGTGGGTAAATGGAGGTGAACACTCAGTGGCCTGTTTGCACAATAGTTGTCATTGCATTCAGGGTGTTAGTATGCAAACATCCTTGTCATTCAGTAGCAGGGTAAGGGAGCCAAACGAATTCCCCAGTCTGCTGTGCCGCACAAACAGGATTGAAATGTTTGATGGGCCGTTAGTGTCCTGTGTGACTAAAACTAGTGGCCCTGCAAAACTGGGATCACTCAGGGAATTCCATCCCTTTGTTCATTATTAGATGTTTGTCTGCCTGCCTCTTTTACACATACACACATATGGGGAGGAAAATGGAAGGGATGGGGGTAGACATCTCCTGCCCAATCCTGTCCCAAAGATGTTGCCATTATTTTAATTGGTTTTTTGCTTTGCTCAGGAGGGTGAAAAGAAAATGTCTCTCGGTTTTCTTTGCAGCAATGGGAGAACTTGGAAAGTGCTCCTGTCAGCCCACGGGAAAGTCCCAGTTAATTAAGGGAGCATCTAAGTGTCAGCCTTGCCTTATAAACAGGACCAATTTAAAGCCCACCTTCTCTCATTCTGAATTATGTAGTATATAAGCACCTTCTTACCAACATGTATATAAGATACCAACATGTATATAAGATACATTTATATACCAAAAATGTCTGGCCACTCAGATACTTCCAGTAGGAGGAGGAAAAAAGAGAACCCTTTGTTTGGTTTGTCCTGAATAAGGAGACATTGATTGATTGATTGACTGACTGATTGATTGATTGATTATGTGCTATCAAGAGGTATTGATTCTTAGAGACCACAC